TGCGTGTGTGTTGGACATAAAGCTGTGGGAAGCGGGGGTGGAGAGTTGGGGGTAATTGGGAAGCGACAGGAGTCTTCAGCTTGCCCACAGAACTCATGATGAATCCTTGGGGCAGGAGTGAGATTGCAAGCGTGGAGGTGGAGGGAGGCCTGTTCTCTTGGTTCTCTCTTTAACTGGGCACTTGCCACCCTGAACGCGCCTGATCTCGTCTGATCTCGGAAGCTAAGCAGGGTCGGGCCTGGTTACTGCTTGGGTGGGAGACCACCTAGGAAGACCGGGTACAGCAGGCGATAATAAAGGAGAGAGAAAATGAAAGAACGAAGGTGAAGAGCTCCGAAGGGCTCACCTGATCTTCCTGAATGGAGCCACCGGACTCACGCTGTCTCTTTCCTCTTTTTCTTCCAGCTGCAACATTGTCCCTTTGCAAAGATGATTGGCCCCGGGGAACAGTAACAAGAAGCCTCTTCCCTTGCCCTGGACTGTGGGGTCGAGTGGGATTTCTTCTTTCCTTTTCTCCCTAAAGCTTAAGGACCTGAAGGAGGCTGGAAGCCTGAACCTCTAGGTGGTGGCAACGCGGTGGCCTCCCAGCGTAATCTCGGGATTTAAGGCATTGTTACAAGCCTCATTTGTGTTTAGCATCAGTTGCACATTAGACCGTGCCCTATATGGGAATCTTCTCTGGGCGAATGGGCGGGAGTTATTCTGGCAGGTGCTGATGCGACTTTATTCTTTTTGGATTTTTTTTTCCCCAAATAAACACAGTTTTATAGTGCTGATAAGACCTTGTTATCACTCCAGCTGAATTTCTTGTGAACCTCTCAGACAAAGCTTAGACAGGCGTCGGAACAGACCAACACTTGCACCAGCGTCACACTTGACTAGCATCTCAGGAACATCATCCTTTAGTGAACGGGGTTTCCATGCGTCAGGCTGCCCCATCTGCATCTGCACCGAGGCATCGCTGCTCTGGATACAGAAGTTGCATCCTCGACAGTGGACCTCAGAGCCCCGATGATTCTCCCTAAGAAGAGGGAAACCAGGAGGCCCCCAGGCAGCCCAGCGCGGCACCAGCTTTTCCGGTCCGTAACCCACCAGAGGGCAGCAAGCCCCCGTCACTTCTAGAATAAAAACCTTGCAAATTGGCTTCTAATTTGGCTTTTTATATTTGAAGCTTGCCATGCCCTCAGATCAGCACTGTTCTGTAAAGCGGGCTTGACACCACTGATGGGAACAGGCAGCGTGTGCACATCTCACCCTCGGACATACCAATTCCTCCTTCGCCATGGCAAAATGGGTTTCAGTGATTCCTAGTGACTAGTCTCACTCCCTTTCTCTCTTCACTGTGTCACAGTGTTTATTTCCAGGCGATGCAGACCACTTTCTCAGAGATCTGGCATATTCTGCTGAGGCTTGCTCGTGTTCCTTGGGACTAGATTTGCTTGGGTCGGATGCAGATACTAGCTTGCCCCGACGGGTGTCAGTACCAGGGTGTGCTTCCAGCCGTGGGTTCTCGTGCTTCACCTGAAAGCCTGTGTCTTCTCCAAACTGTCCTCCGGTGCGTCCTCACATAGTCCCCTCTTGGGAGCCACAGACGGGCCACGTTTACCAATGTTTGCTGTTTAAATCGTGTTCTAATTCCAAGTGTTTTCCAGTCTTTGTATAAGCCCTAGACTATAATAAACACAGCTTATCCTATTCAGTTTATCCCTCTTTTTTGAGATCGTATGCATATTAATCAACCAGCATGGGGGCCTGGGGGCGGGAAGGATCTGTCACATTCTAAAATGAGAACTACAGAGAGTCTTCTGCATCGGCGCCTTTGGCGGGTTTCCTGCCTGCCAAAGAAACAGGATGGATAGAAACAGGATGGCCACATGTGCCGTCTTCTGTGAGGTTCTAAGGGTGGGTCACTTAGAGGTAGGAAGGTCCAAATGGATTAAACTAAACTGGTTTTGCAGAAACGTTTTTTGGTAAGTACAGCGAGGTAATGTGACCTATATAATATTTAACTCCAGTTAGCTAAAATTCTCTGCAGAACACGTAGTGCCCGGGTGAGGACAGATGTGTGTGGCGTCTGTGAGACAGGGGGATTTAGTTTGCTTTTGGCAAAGAGAATTTTATCAAACGGTTCCTAGTGCTTCACTTAATCTCGTCCAGCCTTAAGAAGGTCAAACTTGCTAGTGTTGGCCGCGGCAGCTTCTCAGCGGACAGCGCCAGAGTTGAAAGGATGGGAGGAAAGAGGAAGGGAAGAGCAGGAGAGCAAATTTCACCGCAGGAGTCGCGTTGGTGCCTTTCCCCTGGGGGCCGGCAGGGGGCGCGCCGGCCACGCTCGCGGACGCTCTGCGAACACGTGATCGCCGTTCACCTCTGATTTTACCGCCCGTCGCCCACGGCGGCGGCGGTTACCATGGGGACGGGCTTGGGTGGCAACCGTAACTAGGGAGCCCGTGGAAGAGAAAGCAGCGGCAGCTGGAGGCCGAGGAGGCGGCGCAGGGGTCCAGGCGGGGTCCAGGCGGGGTCCAGGGCGGCGGGACGACTCTGGCCTTTGACCATCTGGGCGGGCGCGCCCTGTGAGTCAGGGGCGGAGCCCACGGGGGGACTCGGGTGGGGGGCCCAGCAAAGCGGGGCCTGGGGCCTCGAGTGGGGCGGGGCCCAGGGCGGAGCAAGGGGCTGCGCGCGGGCTCTGTGCGCCCCACGGACACGCACACCTGCCGCGCCTCTCCTGGCAAAGTTTGGCAGTCGGAAGGGGCTCGTGCTAGCGGTCCTTGACTGGAAATCGATTTTTCAGGTCGCGGAACAGCGTCAGAGAGGTCTGCTTCTTACTAGTTCTGTGATCTTGAAAAAGTCACGTCGACTCTCAGAGCCTCAAGTTTGTTGTAAGGACTAAATGAAAGACTATATTAAAAGGCTTTTAAACTTTTTAAAACAGTGGCTACTATTTCTCTCATCCCTACGTGATGCAACTGTGTTGAGCATTTTACGTCGGTCATCTCATCTAATCTCCACAGTAACCTCAGAATTTGGGGTTATTTTTATTTTGCCTATGAGCAAATTTAGACTTTGTGGGGTAAAGTGACTTACCCAAGGTCACAGAGCAAGTGAGCAGGGGAACTGGGGTGCTAGGAGAGGCTGGCTGCAAAGCCCATACTTTTAACCACTAAGCTACACTGCTTCTTTCCTTAGTCATATTAGAATTGTCGCTAATACCTGTGGTATACATTTTGCTGCCTTTGGGAATAGGAATATGTTTAAAATGAATTAAAGGGCTCTGAAGTTATTCCTAGAAAGATGAGAGGCCCTGGGATCAGTATTTTCAAAATTTGGGAAAGGTTTTCCCAGGAGTATGACATTGTTTATATTCTCGTGGAAAGAATCCAGAGCTGGTATTGCACATCTCATTAATAGGTTAGTGCACCAAGGAATCAAAATGAGAGACGGAGGGCCCTGCTGATTATCATGGTCAAATTTCTTTAGAGGGAAGTCCACAGAGGAGAATGTCAGACGCAGAGGAAAATCCACTAGAAGCAGAAGAAGATGGAGAAACAGAAATGGAAGAAGAAGAATATAACACAAATTATTATAAAGAGGTAGAAAATATGCAACAGGAATCGAAAGATGACACAGTAGCATGGGGAGACTCTCAGGAAGAAGAGGAAGAGGGAGAGGAGGAAGGAGAAGAGCAGGAAGAGGAAGAGGAGAAGCGAGAGGAAGGAGAAGAGGAGGAAGGGGAGGAGGAAGAAGAAACTGTCAGCGCAAGTGAATTAGAGGAAGATGCTGGAACAGCCCAGGAGGAGGTGGCTGCAGGGATTCAGGAAGAAACCACAGCGGAGCTCCAAGGAGCCACCAAGTCCACGAGCAGTGTGGAGAGACTTACATTGACTGATTACCAGTCAGCCATGTCAGAAACTTTTTCAGTAAGTAGTAATTGTCATTCATTCATTCATTCATTCATGCATAATCATTAATTGAATGCTTCCAATATGCCAGGCTATGGGGATACAAAACCAAGTAAGACGCAGTCCATTCTCTAAAGGAGTTCTAGGGTGTGTAGGGAGGCAGACCCATAACTGAGCATTATAGAATAATATGCTAAGTGACCGGTCGGCCTTTTGGAACCAACCAGTGCACCTTAGAATGACTTTGCTATTGCAGGTCTGCTAGTAGCCCAGGAATAAACCCGACATGCCCGTGGTTTCTGTTATCTAAGCACAAAATGTCGCAGGCTCCTTTTTAAAACGCTTTGTAATTCTAGAGTGAGGCTAACACCGAGACTGGCCGATTAGGAAAAGAAAGGAAAATAAGCAAGAGAATGTAGCAGCACAAACTGTATTTGGAATCACAATCTCTCTTGATTTCTTTTTTTTTAAGCAAACCTATAGTGCCAGTGAGTCGAAGCACTCGTTACAATCAGAGCATCCAAGAAGCCTGGGCTCACAATTAGAATTTCTTGGTTTGGATCTAACCAGTTCTGAGGAACAAGAGACGGATTCTGCCGAAAGATGGCTGTCAGACGAGCCTGGGGAGAAAACCAGCCAGAGGCCCCAAGACGAACCGGAACCACAAAGAGGAGGTTTGGAACCAGAAGGGGTGAAAAAGAAAGAAAAAGCAGTATCTTACTTCATCGAGGAAAAAGAGTTCCAGCCCAAAGCCGTCGTCTCAGAGGACTCCCTGGTGTCCACCACCACCGAGGACATGTTGTTTAAAAAGAATGACAGTGACAGCGTGTATCCCTTGGTAAGCATAACATGCTTTTGTCCCCCGCCCGGTGCTTTGAGAGTATAGATGGGACAAGAGGGGACTTTTATGCATATGGGAAAAAATACCACCAGAAAGATTCTTTTTAAACTAATAAGAGACTCTCATGTCTTTTTTTTTTTTTAACGTCTAATAGACTGTATTTCTTTATTTTTAAAAAGATTTTTTAAAAACTATAACCAACATACAATATTATATTAGTTTCAGGTGTACACCCTAGTTATTCAACATTTATATAGCTCAAGAAGTGATCACCGTTAAGTCAGGCAACCATGTGACACCGTACGTGCTGTCACGGTGTTATCGACCGCATCCCCCGTACTGCACACCACATCCCCGTGACTGACTCGTTTTATGCATGAACATTTGAACCTCTTATTCCCCTTCACCTTTCCCCGCTTTTCTAATTTTTTAATTACAGTTGACATTCAGTATTATTTTATATTAGTTTCGGGTGTACAGCATAGTGGTTAGACATTTATATAATTTACGAAGTGATCCCCCCTGACTGATCTGGTACCTGCCTGGCACTGTACATGTTTATAACCATGTGACTGACTGTATTCCCTTTACATCCCCATGGCTTTTTCGTAGTTAATTTGTACTTTCGTAGTCAATTTGTAGTTCTTAATCCCGTCACCCTTTTCACCCCGTCCCCAACACCCCTCGCACCCGGTAACCATCAGCTTGTTCCCTGCATCTAGGAGTCTGTTTCTGTTGTGTTTGTTCATTTATTTTGTTCTTTAAATTCCGCATGTAAGCAGGATCATATGATTTTTGTCCATGTGACTGACTGTATTCCCTTTACATCCCCATGACTTTTTCGTAACCGTCAATTTGTACTTCTTAATCCCGTCACCCTTTTCACCCCGTCCCCAACACCCCTCGCACCCGGTAACTATTGGCTTGTTCCCTGCATCTAGGAGTCTGTTTCTGTTGTGTTTGTTCATTAATTTTGTTCTTTAAATTCCGCATGTAAGCAGGATCATATGATTTTTGTCTTTCTCTGTCTGACTTATTTCACTTAGCATAATACTTTCCAGGTCCATCTATGTTGTCGCAAATGGTAAGATTTCATTATTTTTTTATGGCCGAGTAATATTCCGTTGTATATATGTACCACAACTTCTTTATCCAGTCACCTATCAAAGGGCACTTAGGTTGCTTCCATATATGGCTGCTGTAAATCATGCTGCACTAAACACAGGCGTTATACATCTTTTTGAATTAGTGTTTTGGATGTCTTTGGATAAATATCCAGAAGTGGAATTGCTGGGTAGTTCTATTTTCAGTTGTTTCATTTATTTATTTATTTATTTTTTATTAGGGCAACATGGGTTAATGAAATCCAGGAAGTTTCAGGTTATTTTTAGTTTTTTGAGGAAACTTCATACTTTTTCCCCTGGCGGCTGCCCCAGTCTGCAGTCCCACCAACAGTGCACAAATTTTACCTTTTCTCCACATCCTCGCCAACACTTGTTGTTTGTTTATTATTGACGATGGTCATGCTAACACGCATGAAGTGACATCTCATTGTGGTTTTAATTTGCATTTCTCTGGTGATCAGCGATGTTGAGCATATTTCCATATGCGTATTGGCCATTTGTACGTCCTCTTGGGAGAAAGGTCTGTTCAGGTCCTCTGCCCATTTTTTAATTGGATTGTTAGTATTTTTGGTGTTAAGTTGCATGAGTTCTTTATATATTTTGGATATTAACCTCTTATCACATGTATCATTGGCAAATATCTTCTCCCATTCAGTAGGTTGTCTTTTCATTTTGTTGATGGTTTCCTTTGCTGTGCAAAAACTTTTTAGTTTGGCGTATTCCTGTTTGCTTATTTTTTCTTTTATTTCTCTTGCCCGAGATGACACATCAGAAAAAATACTACTAAGAGCCATGTCAGAGAGTTTACTGCCTATATTTTCTTCTAGGAGTTTTATGGCTTTGAGTCTTACATTTAAGTCTTTAATCCATTTTGAGTTTTTTCTTATATATGGTGTAAGAAGGTGCTCTTCTTTAATTTTTTTGCATGTATCTGTCCCGTTTTCCCAACACCATTTATTGAATAGACTATTTTTACCCCATTGTATATTTTTTCCTCTTTTGTCACAGACTTAATTTACCATACAGGAGTGGGTTCATTTCTGGGCTCTCTGTTACGTTCCATTGATCTATGTGTCTGGTTTTATGCCAGTACCATGCTGTTTTGATTACCGTAGCCTTGTAGTATAGTTTGATATCAGAGAGTGTGATACCTCCAAATTTGTTCCTTTTTCTCAAGATTGCTGTGTCAATTGGGGTCAATTTTTTTTGGCTCCATATGAATTTTAGGATTATTTGTTCAAGGTCTGTGAAAAATGCCACTGATGTTTTGATAGAGATTGCGTGGAATCTATACATTGCTTTGGGTAGTATGGACATTTTAATGACGTTAATTCTCCCTATCCATGAGTACGGTATATACTTCCGTGTATTTGTATCTTCTTCCGTTTCTTTCTTCGGTGTCTTATAATTTTCCGAGTACAGAGACTTTTGTGTTTTAAAGCTCAGTTCGGAGCTCCGTCTGGACATGGGCGACAGAATGCAGATGTGAGCGCCACAGCTGGGTTCATTAGAGCTGCTCAGCAGGCGGGAGATTCTACGCGGAGCCTGTCTGTGGCACAGGGTGCCGTTTTTTGTTGGAACCTCAAAACCCGTCTTTCCGTCTCGGTCTCCCCTCCGCATCCTCCCTGCTCCTCTTCCCTCTCCCTCCCTCTCCTCGCCTCCCGTGCCTCAACTGGCTTGACATCTTTACAAAAGCTCCCCAAACCATCACACTCTCCTAAAACTGTCCATTCCCCCACACGGATCAGAAGCGAATGGCGTGGAAAAGAGAAGCCACTGCGAAAAGCACCAGGCAGTCCGAAGGCACCAGCCTTTGCTGCCACTGACGATATCCCCAGAGGCTCCATCTGTGGAATACAAATATTACCATTTACCAGGAGAAGGGAGAAGAGGGATTTTTTTTCCTTCTTCCTCCATCTGCTGTTTTCTGAAAATTGTTTCTTAGGATTTATCTCCTTCCCCACCGCCCCCTGCCCCTTTCCCTGTAAAGGTATGCGTTTTGCAGGTTTGTAAGTGATTGAGTGTATATAAAATGCTTGATGTAGTTCCTAACTCACAGTGAGCCCTTGACAAGTGTTAACAACTAGGTGATGGTGATGACGATGGTGATGGGAAAATGCCGAGTGGGAAACGCAGACACCTGACCTCCTTTCTTTCTTAGATTTGGCTCCTCCAAGCAGCGGGGTTAAAGGTTAAAGCTTGCGGTTGCTCATTCTGAAAGAAAGAACCGCTGCGTTTTAGAGCCCCTGAAGACTTTTGTCTTGAGTAACCAGCGAACAAGAAATCAGAGACTGTCACTACTGAGGGGAAGTGATTTGACCAGAGCCACTGCCTGGGTTTGGGTCCCCGTTAGCCTCGGGCTCACTGCAGAACCGAAACTTCCCTAGACTGCCTTCCTTTGCGAATTTGTTTACCTCCTTGAGTACACACCTTCTTTCTTTCCTC